TGCAGCCAATCAGCAGCAGCAGCAGCAGCAGAAGCAGCAGCAGCAGTCTCTCCCCCAACGCCTCTCCGCAAGCAGTAAAACGCAGGGCTGCAAACACACAAACCCTAAACCCTAAACCCTAAACCCTAGGCTCTCTAAACACCCACGGGGGACACACAGCACCAGCAGCAGCAGCAGCAGCAGCAGCAGCAGCAGCAGCAGCTGACCCCAAGGCTTGGCACTCCTCCAGGAGTTTGGTGTTGGTGACGAAGGGAGACAGATCCCTTGCAAGCAGAGACAGCTGCTGCAGCTCCAGCTGCAGCAGAGGAACAGCAACAGCAGCAGCAGCAGGAATTGCCTGAGCCGCCGCAGAGCAGCAGCAGCAACAGCAGCAACAGCAGCAGCAACAGCAGCAGCAACAGCAGCAGCAGCAGCGAGAGGAATCCTTACACGTGATCGTTCAGCTACCAGCTGTCTAATAGCGTCAACAGCACATGGAGGGTCCATTGCCTCTCCTTGCTGCTGCTGCTGCTGCTGCTGCTGCTGCTGCTGCTGCAGTTGCTGCTGCTGCTCCTGCTGCACTCCCCATGCATTTCCCGTGTCGATGCGTTGCTGCCTGAGTCGCTGTGTGTGCTGCTGCAGCAGCTTTCCCTTCTTAACTTTTTGCTGCTGCTGCTGCTGCAGCATGCCTTTTCCTTTGCTGCTGCAGTTCTGTATTTGCTGCAGCAGAAAACCAAAGGCTTCAAGGAAGGAGGTTGAAGCACTGAAGGGCAAGTCGGAGACAGATAGATGCTGCAGCACGCAGATCCGTTGCTGCTGCTGCTGCTGCTGCTGCTGAGTTTCTGCTGCTGCTGCTGCTTCTGCTGGGCGCTGAGGAGCTGCTGCAGTCCTCAAGGCATCAGCAATAGAGAGAGGCCGATCCTGCTGCTCATTCGAAGACTCCGGCTCCACCTGCTGCTGCTGCTGCTGCTCTTGCTGCTGCTGTTGCTGCTGCTGCATGAGTGCAGCAACCCGCCGCAGAGCATCCACCAGCAGCAAACGCTTCGCGCTATCGGAGGCCCCTAAGGCGAGGCATAGCAGCAGCAAACCCTGAGGTGAATCCGGTATTGTTGCTGCTGCTGATTGCAGCGTGTTGCGAAGCAGCAGCATGTCACCCTTGCAGCTGCTGCTCATGTTGCTGCTGCTGATGCTGCTGCTGCTGCTGCTGCTGTTGCTGAAGATGATGAAGACAGCTTGCGCAACGAAGTCCTCAAACAGCTGCTGCCGCTGCTGCTTCAGCTGCTTCATGCGATTCCCTTGCTGCTGCGGCTGCTGTTGGTGCTGCTGCTGCTGCTGCTCGTGCTGCAAGTCTTGCTGCAGCTGCTGGTCTGCTGCTGTGAGGGCTGCAGCAATGCTGCGGAGCTGCTGCTGCTGCGGTTGCTGCAACAGCTGCTGCAGCAGCTCAAGTGATAGCCTAGAGATGCGCTTGCTTTCTTTATCGGGCAGCAGCAAAACAGTAGCAGCAGCAGCACGGCTTGCTTCTTCAACAGCAGCAGCAGCCTGCTGCTGCTGCTCCTGCTGCTGCTGCAGCGCAGCAAACAGCTGCTCCAGGGCAACGGAGGTAGGCAGAATGCTGCCTTTCTTTGGTGGTGCTGCTGCTGCACTTGCTGCTGCTGCTGCTGGAGACAATGGAGACAGCCTGCTGCCAGCCTCACGGGAAGGAGCAGCATCTGCAGCAGCAGCAGCAGGAGCAGCATCAGCAGCAGAAACAAAAGACTCCGCACCGCTGTCGTCTTCTCGCTGCTGCTGGTCCTCTCCTGCATGCGCAGCATCTGCAGCAACAGCTGCTGCTGCTGCTGCTTCAGCCTGCATGCGCGCACGTGGAGAAGGGAGCCCTGGAGGGGGCCTCAAGCTGTCAACTGCGCTGCTGCCGCTGTTGCTGCTGCTGCTGCTGCTGTTGCTGCTGCAAGGAAGCTCCTCAACGCGAAGATCTTGCCTTTTGTCTGTGCCTGCTGCAGCAGCAGCAGCATCTGCTGCTGTTGCTTCACTCCTGGCGCTGCTGCGAGGCACCCAGCGAACCGTTGCTGTCTCTGCAGGTGCTGCTGCAGCAGCTGGTGCAGCAGTTGCTGCTGCTTCCTGCTGCGGGTGTCTCCTGCAGTAATTCAGAAGCTGTCTCCTGTATGCTGCATAGTCTCCTCTCAAGGCCAGCGGCACCGGCCCTGTGCTGCTGCTGCTGCTGCTGCTGCTGCTGCTGCTGCTGCCCGTGCCATACTGCTGTCTCCCCCTGTTGTTATTGTAGCTGCTGCTGCTGGTGCTAGTAACGCCGCTGCTGCTGCTGCTGCTGCCGCTTGGTCTGCTGTTGCCCCCGTGAACAGCAGCAATATGCACATGCAGATCGGTGAGATGCCTGTACACTGTAAGGGGGCAGCTGTCTCTGTGGGGACAGGGGTAGTGCTGCTGCTGGTAGTGCTGCTGCAGCTCATGTAGCTGTCCAAACACCTGAAGCAGCAGCAGCAGCAGCAATAGAAGCAGACGCAGAGCCTCAGCAGCAAACTACATACACCCACACCCAGCAGCAGCAACAGCAACAGCAAGAGCAGCAGCAGGAAAGGAGGCTGCTGCTGCACTTCGCCCCCATATACAAACAGCAGCAGCAGCAACAGCTTGAAAAGACCTACAGCATCAACAGCATCATCAACAGCAGCAGCAGCAGCAGCAGCGGATACTTACCGGCACCATCTCCGCTGAAGGGGGGCGTTCTGTTGTTGCATCAGCAGCAGCAGCAGCAGCAGCAGCAAGCCGATGAAAGTCTTGTTCACAGAGCGGGCACGAGAAGTGTGTGTCTCTAAAGTGCAGCAGCAAATGCTCTCCATCAAGGGTTCGTTCATTGCAGACGCTGCACTTGGGATGTACAGACACCCCAGCAGCAGCAGCAGCAGCTGCTGCTGCTGCTGCTGCTGCAGCAGGATCGGCATTGCGGCCTCCCCCACGCTGCTGCTGCTGCTGCTGCTGCATGTGGAGACGGTAAAGACGAGGAGACAGCAGCTGCTGCTGCACCAGCAGCTGCTCTTTCCTACCTAGGAGACAGACAGAGCAAAGCTGCAGCGAGTGCTGTTTATTGAGGTGTATAGACAGCTGCTGCAGCGAGGTAAAGACATGCGCATCATCCGCGGGCCCCGTGAACTGAAGAAACTCATCACTGCTGCTGCTGCTGCTGCTGTTGTTGTTGCTGCTGCTGCTGCCTCCCCTGGAGCGGCTGCTGCCTGCTGCTGCTGCTGCGTGTTGCTTTGCGTCTGCTTCAGCAGCAATAGCGAGCTGCATCTGCTGCTGCTGCTGCTGCATATCAGCAGCAAAGACATAAGAGAACATCCATGTGTCTCTGCAGCTTTGCTGCCAGCAACGCAGCTGCAGCAAGGCTTCAACAAACCTCCGGACAGCAGCAGAAGCAAATGCAAGCCCTGCTGCAGGACAGACAAGGTGAGGGGGCAGTGCAGCAGCAGCAGCAGCAGCATAATGTGGGGGCTGCAGCAGCGCATGCAGCGGCCCCTTAACAGAGACACGCGAAGGGCATTCACCAGTAAACAGCAGCAGCAGCAAAGGAGACGAACAGAAGCAAAAGGGGCAGCTATAAAACTCTCGGGATCCTAGCCGCAGCCGCACAGCGCACATCCAGCAGCAAACGTGGCTGCAGCTGCCTACTGCAGCACAGGGTGTCTCCTCGCAGCAAACTACGCACTCCACCACTTCAAACTGCTGCTGCTGCTGCTGCTCCTGCTCCTGCTGCTGCTGCTCAGGCTGATCCCCAAGAATTGTAGCTCCTGCTGCTATAGCAGCAGATACAAACACTTTGCATGCATCTACACTCACTATCTCACCTCCCCCTTCCCGCTGCTGCTGCTGCTGCTGCTGCTGCTTCTGCTGCTGCTGCTGGTGCTGCGCATGCCTTGGGCGGTGTCTGTGGGGCCCCCCACGACCCCTTCCACCGTAAGGGGGGCCCCCACGGGCCCCCCCCCCTCCTCCACTGCTGCTGTGGGGCCCCCCGTAGCTGCTGCTGCTGCTGCTGCTGCTGCTGCTGGGGCCCCCACGGCCTCCAAGTCTAAACCCCCTTCTGCCATCTGCTGCAGCTGCTGCGCTGCGGGGGGGCCCTGACTCAGATGCGTGAAAAGACATACCAGCTAAACCCTAAACCCTAAACCCTAAACCCTAAACACACAGCCAACTGAGGCTGCTCAGACACAGGGGCAGCAGCAGCAGCTACTGCTGCTGCCGCAGGATGCCTGCTGCAGTGCTGCTGCTGTTGCTGCTGCTGCTTCTGCTGCTTCTCCAGAAAACTGCTGAAGTCGCGGTCAGAAGTTAAGGAGAGAGCTTCTCAATCCTGCTGCTGCTGCTGCTGCTGTTGCTGCTGCTGAGCCTGCTGCTCCTGGGGTTCTCTTATCCCCCCAGCATTGATACTGCTGCTACTTCATTTAACACACAGAGAATATGCAGTTATCTCCGCTGTCGTTTTCGCCCGTTGCTGCAGCTGCTGCTGCTGTTGCTGCTGCTGCTGCTGCTGCTGCTGCACTTGCTGGCGTTTTTACTGTTGCTGCTGCAGCAACAGCAAGCGGAAACTCTTTGTAACCGCAAATACGCGAAAATGTATAGAAAAACAGTGCTGCTGCTGCTGCGGCTGCAGTTTGAACACTTGCTGCTGCCGCAGTCGCTGCTGCCGCCGCCGCAGCAGCAGCAGCAGCTGCTGCTGCGCTTTGCATGCGATCAGGAGCGATGTCTTTTAGTGTTTTATTTTTCGATTCGCCGATTCATGAGAGTGTACTTCGTTAATAATTTCAGTGGGAGGATCAGCAGCAACAGCAGCAGCAGCAGCAGCAGCAACAGCAGCAGCAGCAGGAGCGTTTCAGTCGCAGCAGCAGCAGCAGCTACAGAGGACGAGCAGCAAGAGCAGCAAAATCACTGACACCTTTAACTGGCTCCAACGAGAGCTTCCTATTTCGCAGTACTTTGTGACAGCAGCAGCAGCAGCAGCTGCTGCTGCTGCTGTCGTT